ACAACCGGGAGAGAAAAATCCCCCCCCCCCTGCTTTTCGTACGAGGAACTATCGGCTGTTGTTTTCTCACCGTCAACGCAGCGTCCAGAGCGGATGGCCTGCTACCCAGATGGGAAGAGAGTATGACGATGGTCGCCTTACTTACAGATTTACAGAGAGAGCACCGCTTGTCAGCTCCCCGCTCTCCACATGTGGCACAGTAGTCGGCATCCACAAAGGCCATCTGACCCGTCAGCGCCTGAGTTAACACCGAGTAGGCCGTCGGGTCGTTGCCCTGGAAAAAAAGCAAAATCGACAGTTTAGAAAGACGAGTCGACCGACGTTCACCAGCCTTCGGTGCCCATTGCTGACCAACGCCGTTTTTGGGGGTGAAAAATATCCAATGACACAGCAGGTACAACATACCTAACGAGACGCATCTCCACCACATGAAACACGCATTCGCGCCTCCTAAACGGGAACTTCGGATTCATTCGAAGAAATCGAAGCCCCTCGCCACGCTTTTGACGTGACTGCGATGCAATCCTCAAATGCAACAGCAGGGGGCACAATGACCCGGGTAAACGCGGAGTCATGAGCTTCCTTTTGAACAGTTCGACAAGCAAGACCCGAGTATAGAACTCCGAGCAAAGATCAACACCCGTTTTTGTTGGCGAGCCGCATAGAGACGAGGCGCGTAGACTGTTGACGCGGGCCGACAGTCCCTCAGCCAATCGCGACGCGGAAGAACAAAAAAGGCCCGAAAAACAGCGAAACCGCGTTCGACTGATCTTTGAAAATCCTGTACAGTCCACCCATTTGGGGTCCCAGTCGGATTCTACGTTCTCTTCTGCGCTTCGACTCTCGAGCGGCGCAAGGCTCCTCACCAGCTGCTGAAGCAGCGTGCTCTCGCAGTAAGGGAACTTCCTGATGCAGTCTCGAATGAATTTCTCCTGGTACTGCGGGAAGCCGTCGCTGTCTCTCCCCCTCAGAAGGCTGGCGTCCGGCCGGGCGAGATGAAACGGAGGGGAGAAACGCACGTTGAAGAGCCACTCTTCCTTTTTGCCCGGGGTCGGCGCCGAGGCCTCACCTCTTCACCAACGCATCCAACTTGTCGTCTCGTTTCTGGAGGAAGATCAGACACTTCTGCAGGACGCAGCTGATGTAATGCATCTTCATGGCCAGAACCTCGTTCGAGTCCGGCTGCTTGACGCACTGCTCGCACAGCAGATCCATCACCCGGTAGCACTTCTCCAGGGCACCGACGTCCACCAGAGCAGGGTTCTCCCTTACCAGCATGACGATCTGTCGGATCGGCGTCGGAGAGACTCGCACCGTTTAGCCGCGCGCGCTCCCGACGTTCCATCTGCGCCGGCCGCGAGCTCATTGGCTCCATCGAGCATCGCAAATGTCGTTCGGAATTTGGGATAAAGTAGTCAAATTGACTGGAACAAAATCACAACGATTGAATTAGTTTAGTTTTAAAGAAAAAAAATGACTTTTTGGCTGAAACTTCTATTTTTTTGAACATGATGCTTTCAACCAAATCGCAAATACAACATAAGACGGCCATTCAAACTTAATGTGCCTCTTTGAAAAAAAGTCATGTTCTTTTAATGAATGTTAAATTGAAAATAATGCTTTGAAGCATGAATGTAATTTCAAGGGGGAAAAAAACGAAGAAAGTTAGCTGTAACAAATGACAGCCATTTGTTGCTTGTTTAGTTGAGGTTTTTGTGTTGTTATTGTTTTTTGCGAGCCCGTATTCGCAAACGCAGAAAATACGGAGAGAGAGAGCGAAAAACAGGATGGAAAAACGACTCCGAGAGCACCGAATCAGAGAAATGGCCAAATCCGGTCGCTTCCCCCCCCCCCCTGGACGAGAGCCAATGTGAAATGCGAGGCGGCGGGCGGAAAGCGGGTTGAGAGTCAGCATCGCCCAGCCGCGACCCGAGCGCGCGAGGGGGGGCTCACCTTGACCGGGTTGAGGTTGGTTGTCATGATGATCTCGTGCAGGGGTCCCGCCAAGGCCGGCGGCAGCTTGGGCTCCCTCTCCGTCCCCCGGGGCCTGGTGTAGTAGTCCACCCTCGCCCGCGGAAAAAAGTTGTTGATGACCGTCACGCAGTCGTGCTGGCCTGCCGCCAAAGGCACATGCGCGCGCGCGTCGTGACTCCTCCGCGGCCGACGCTCAGCTCACCCCCTCGAGCCCCGCCGCCCAGAGGCCGGTCTCACCGACGAACGCCGCCATTTGAGCGGCCGTACGACCCACGGAATTCACCAGATCCGTTTCGGCCCCGGCGTCCAGCATCATGGATGTGATGTCCGTCTTCCCTGCGGGGGTGAAACGCTCGTTTCATCCAACGGGGTAGTGCGACCTTTTCGCCAGATGACGAAGGAGGACGCGACGGAAAGCTCGGCGTCGCACGGAGCCCCTCTTGCCGAGGGACATACGAAGATGCCCCCCCTCCCCGCGGAGCTGCGACTTGGACGCTCTGGCAGGGGCATCGTGGTTACCAAATGCAAACTTTTGGGCAGCGCCCCTCACTGCTTCAAATACAAACGTCACTTGCAATAACTCGTGAAGGTGCGCTCGATCTGTCGACCCTCTCGTCCGATGAGGGAGGGATCAGCTCTTTTGTTCTGATGAAATGTACATAACCTCACATTTTGCCCCCCCCCCCAAAAAAAAAAGACACATTTAGCAATCTATTCATAATCCAGTATATTCCATGCTATTCGAGCCACCGGTAGATTCCATGCAGATCCGCACAAGCAGCATAGTAAGTGCCATTGAACAAGTTCTATGTTGTTCCCTCATCGATGGCAACATTGTTTGTAACGTGCTGACAAACGACACCTGTTTTTTTTGGGGGGTGGGGGTGTTACCTGACAAGCCGGCAAACATGAGAGCCGTGTATCCATACTCATGTTGGTTGCAGTTGACATCAGCCCCACGCTGCAGCAGCAGGCCACACATATCGGCTTTGCCCTTATAGGCCGCATGCATCAGGGGCGTCATCCCGCACTTACAGGAACAAAGTCGGAGACACAAGAGTAGGATCAATTCTGTACTTTGTCGGGCGTAAAAAAACACAACAATCGATGTGTTCCTTGTACATTCCAAAAAGGACACGAAATGACGCTTGGATGATTCCATTTTTTTTTTTCAAGTAAAATCACTTGTGTGTGTCCGAGTGCAGGTGGCGTGAAACTCTGTCACCTGATTGTGACAGACAGGCGACGCGAAGGAGCCCGTGGAGTGGGACCATTCTATTCTGGAGAAGCTCTGAGGGCGACAATCGCCCCTCGTGAGTCATCTCCAGATGTCTCGGGAACAATGCCGAGACATATGCTCGCTCGGCTGCCGTGACCGTTGCGCGCAGAAAGACGTGGGCAAGGGAAGTCCTCAATATTATTTGGCCATAGCAAGCCCAAATTGGGTTATTGCTTTGCTTCTGTTGCAAGAACAGTGCATTTTAACAAGCGCTCCCAATTTGAGATCGACAACATTTGAGATCACGAGATATATATATCAGCGCATAGAAACACGGATTTTTATTTATTTATTTTTTATCTGTCTGCAGATGCGTCAATATTTGTCATTGTTCTCAAGTACCTCGTCCAAACAGTTGACTCGTACGTCGTCACTTGTAAGCATTTGGGCCGCTTCTTGCACATCGCCTGCAGACCAGAAGAGAAGGATTGCACGTACACAACGTAGCCGATTTACAAGGTCGATCGTCGAAAGAGCACGACGACCATTGTAGGAATCGCAATTGACGGACAGCAACCGGCAGAAAAAAAAAACGAGCGTGTGTACGCGTTTCTCACACATAGCAAAGAGAGATGTGCCGACTATCCAATCAAGTGAATTTGTTAAGGCGCGCCAGTGCGGCCCCGAGTTCAACGAGTGTCTTGCAGTGATGCCGATGAGCCAAGCGAGATGAGAGAGACGTCTTGGAGAGGAAGAGCCCTTGTGAGGCCCGTGGCAAACGTCCTTTGAAACGTCTCTTTTTTTTTTCTCTTGTGAGGCCCGTGGCAAACGTCCCTTGAAACGTCTCTCTTTTTTTTTTTTCCTCTTCATGTCACGAGCGTGCTGAAAAATGCACGGCGGGACGCAAATGGCCCCGGGGCCAACATATTTCCTCGTGTTGGTTTGCGTGGTTTTCGGTTCGATTCAAAGGACGATTTTGGTTGTCGTCATCAAACAAAAGAGCACGCTCGGCGCCGCGGTCAAAGCAAACAAGGCATCCTTGATGCCACGAGAAGCGAGAAAGCAGCTCCATCATAAATATCGAGTCGGCCAAGAGAGAAAGAGGAGAGCGACCCGAGCAAAAGATCGTCGATCGTTAAGCGCGGAAGCCGCCCGAGAAGTCGCACTCACCGGCCTCAATCACTTGCAAAAGTTTCCTCTCGGAAGCCGTGAGTTGGCCCTTCTGAGTTGGCGCGGCCATTCTCGTCACGCCGCTGCGACGGCGGGATGCTCTCTTCAGTCGGGGCGGGCAAATCGCTGGCTCCGACTCGGACGACCACGCCCCAAACGGCGACGCCCCAAGGATCGCACGTGACAAGGACGAGCCGTGCCTGGATCAGACCAAGAGCAAACAGAGGGAGAGCCGCGGGTTTGTCGTCTGCGTTGCCAGCTCGCACGGCGGATGACCGCGCCGTTCCATCGGGCGATGGGTTTGTGCCAAGAAAACGCAGCAAGCGCAAACATCCAATCTGTTCACTGACCCTTGACGGTCCCACTTGGTGATGGCGCGAGGGCCGCGTGTCTCCGTCAGGTTAACTCACGCTGTCCTCGTGCCCTTCACCTTTGATTCGCCGCGATCGGATCCAAGGCGGAGTCTCCCTGAATAGGGGGTGGGGGGGGGGGAGTCCAAACGTTTTGGGAGGGGGTCGCCTCCAGACAAATGGAAGGATGAAAGGGCCGCTTTCAAATTGGGCCACTTTTTCAGTCGAGCGAGCCATTGGACATTGTTTGGAGTGTCTCGTTCATGTCATCAGCTTTCTGCGTTCAAAAAGTGTTAAGGCAAATAGTTTGGAGGGGGGGGGTCCAACAGCCCTCTATCTCACAGAACAGATCCGGCTCTGCACTTCACAACAGCTGAATCACCACATTCACCCCCCCACCCCAAAAACAGAGAGCAAATTGTAGCTAGGTGAGCATTTTTCAAACACTTCCATGAGGATCACTTCTGTGACGTCTTCAGAAATCAGCCTCGAAAATGGAACCATCTTTATTCCCGACAGCGTGTCGCTCTTTCCATCATTTCTTTGTATCTTAGAATACAGTGACCAGGTGGCCCATGGCAAATGTCTTTTTTTTTTTGGTTTGTTTGTTTGGGAGCGGTCATCTCGCAGGCCACCGAAAAAGGATGGCGGGCCGCAAATGGTCCCCGGGCCGTAGTGTGGACACCCCGGGTCCAAGCAGATTTCACCAAAGTTCAATGACGTCCCTTCCGCCATCTGGTGGAAGAGCATTTCGTTGTTCTTCTTGGCACCGTTGGCCTCCAGAGACCCAAGGGTTGGTCCCCACTCAAATGCAAAGCCCCTTCAACGACGTGAGCCTCCCTTGCATCCGCCACGAGGAACTATTGCGCCTCATTTCGTTTCACGAATCAAGTGGCCCAAAAGCCTTGTTTTCGTCCACGATCTCGCTGCTCACGACTTCCGGAATTGATTTGTGGGTTCGCGCTGTCCTCGCGGCTAGACGCGCGTGAGCTCCTTCAACGGAGTTGGCAAGAAGGCGACAATGCCCGGCGGCCGCCGAGCGGACCGCACGCCCCCCCCCACCCCCTCGTTTTTGTCGGACGAGATCGTCTGAGTGGAGAGTTGAACGCCAATTGTCAGCGGAGAAACTTCAAAGTAAAAGCACACGACACCAGAGAAGAAATGAAGCTCACTCGAAACAACTCGATTCCTTCAAGATTTGAATGCGAGCCAGATTGTCATCAGATTGTCGGTGTCCCGGACGACCGGGACACCGACGCTTCGGCTGTGGGATTCGGCCCACTTGACTTTGGCTCCTAAAGCATCTCTCATCCAAACGTGTGCTTTTCGCGCGATTTCGTCAGAGCGGCTCTTTATTTTGAAAAGCAACGGCCCCGCTTCCGCGTTGTCTCTCTTTCTTTCTTATTTCGGTCCCCCTCCCCCCACCTCTGACGGCGACGTGACGCTGACCGACGTTTCGAAGTCGGGCGTTGTGCCGGGCCGCATCCCGTCGCTGCTGAAATATTCCCCGGAGATTCCTTTTATTATTGATCCATCTCGATTGGAAGCTTTTTTTTTTGTTTTGTGCTTGTTGTCCTGAACTGATCTATGGTGCCAAAATGGGTTGCGCTGGATTCACCTGCTCCAAACACTCCCTGTGCGCGCTCAACATCCTCTACGTCGTGAGTATGCAAGGCATCCCTCTGCACCACGCGGATTACGTCCTTACTCGAGGACGAAACTTTCGACCGATGCGCGTTTGCTCCCCTGGCAGGGAGGAAACCTCGAAACGGAAACCGTCTTTTGATGAGGTCACGCACTTGCTCGGTCAATTGTTTACCGCGGAACCTTGTCAGATGCTCAGTGTGTGACCATAGAAGCCCCCCCCCCCCCAAAAAAAAAATCCAGCTCGTTTGCTATTACAGCAGAGTGGCAGACTCGGCTTCTGAGATCATTTCCTGACATTTCAGAGGATGTACTGCCCTTTTATTTTTTTAAATCGCCCTCTGCAATCTCATCCTGAGTCTACACGTTGCTTGTAAGAAAGAAAACCACGCGGGTCCAACCTTGTGCTATCGATCCCACCAGAATCTCGCGCTATCCAAGTGACGTGCGATTTGGCCGGCGAGCGGTAAGAGCAGCGGTTGGCCTTGTCCCTCTCCTCCTGCAGATGGTGAGCCTGCTGATGATCGCCATGGCGGCCTGGGGCAAGTGGTTGGGCCTGGTCTCCAGTTTCCAGGTGGTGGGCGGAGTCACGGGAGTGGGCGTCTTCCTCTTCTTTGTCGCTCTGGCCGGCCTCCTGGGCGCCGTGAAGCACCACCAGGTCCTCCTCTTCTTCGTATCCTTGCGTGCAGTCGACACCTCGGTCCGAGGGGGCGCCCCCTCTCTTCGGAACGAACAGCGGGCGAGACGCCCCCCCGCCGGCCATCTGGATAACTCGCCTCCAAACTCATTCGGCGTCTTTGGCTTCGGACTCCATTTGTCGTCGGAGCGTTTTTGCGCTTTCCAACCGTCCTTGTTCTTCATGGCTTTTGTTTGTCCTCATCCGAGTCGTTTTTGCTCCACGCGCGTACACCACTTTGAGTACGGCCGCGTGAAAGGGCTCTCGAAATCCACCGCGGAGTTGAGGGTGGAGCTGCCGATCGGGACGGCGTGACCGAGCGCAGCATCAAATTCCAGTCGGCGGTCGGAGCGGCGCTCCTTGTGGGCTCGCGGTCTTTGATCCAGTCCCTTTCCGCGCGAGCGCGCCAAGCGAGATGCTTTTGTAAACCGCTTGTTTCCTTGACTCGGAATCTTAGTACATGATCATCCTGTTCATGGTGTTTATTGTGCAGTTGGCCCTTTCCAGCGCCTGTCTGGCCATCAACAAAGAGCAGCAGGTGAGACGACCGTCGCAAGCGCTTGATGACACTTGGGAATCAGACATCTCGGACCGATAAATAGATATGTACCGAGCCCCAGACATGACCTTTGAAAAAGACCCCCCCCCCAAAAAAAAAAAAAGACTGTGCGTGTGCTCTAACTATTTGAACTGCACTGGTTTTGCACACAAAAGCTGATTGTAATCACAGTGAGCAGGAAACACTTTCAACAGCATATGACATTGTGTCTTTCAAATGTTTGAACAGATAGAACGAACAGAGAGGAATAATTCCTGAACAGTAGTACGTCTGCCCCCTGCCCCCTGCCCCCC